AACTACCAAATTGAATTACAGAGAAATTACAGAAGATGTGAAACTTGGAGAAGGCAGTTTTGGAATTGTTTACAAGGGGCAATACAGAGGCGTATGTGTAGCTATTAAAAAGATAAAACAACTAAATAACAATAAAAGTAAAATTGAAGAATTTAAAAAGGAAGTTGACATGCTTGACAAATTCAGATGTGATTACATTATCCACTTTTATGGTGCTGTATTTATACCTAATAAGATATGTATGGTCACTGAATTCGCACAATTTGGGTCACTTCAAGATTTGATCAATCACAAAAAGAGTGATGAAATTGTAATGAAATTCCGACTTAAAATATTAATAGATGCATCGAAGGGTATTCAATATTTACATGAGAATGGTATTTTACACAGGGATATTAAGCCAGACAATTTCCTTGTGTTATCACTTGATCTAAATGAAAAAGTAAACGCAAAATTGACTGACTTTGGATCATCAAGAAATGTGAATATGCTGCAAACAAACATGACATTTACAAGAAGTGTTGGTACGCCAAAGTATATGGCTCCCGAAATTTTAAATAAACAGCATTACAAGAAACCAGCTGATGTTTACTCGTTTGCAATTAGAATGCTTGAATGCTTTTTATGGGATGACGCTTATCCTAAAAACGTTTATGTGTATCCGTGGAATATCGCAGATGATGTTGCAACAGGTAAAAGGACAATAACAATTGAAAAGATAAATAAAAAATATCAAAATGTTATTGAAAAATGTTGGAAACAAGAACCTCAAGAAAGGTGTTCAATAGATGAAGTTATTGATCAACTAAAAATCATTATTTGATTATTATTTTATAATTTGTTTATAAGAATATTTAATCGAGAGTTTCTGTGAAAAAAAATTTCTCTCTGTTAAATAAAATATCTTTTAATATTAACAATTTAATTATTTGTTTATATATATAAAATAAACTGTTTTTCAAAAGTCTGTACCGCCGTGTTTTTAGAACTCCCTAAAGTCCCGTTTTCTATTTTTTATTTTTCCTAAAAAACAAAAAAAACAAAAAATCGAAAGTACAGACTTAATTTAAAAAAATACCAATCCCGTTCAATTATTTTTGTACAATATCTGGAATTTATCATAATATAATAAGCCTTTTCCAAAAAACCGATCCTGTTATTTGATTTGACCTTAACTCGATACTTCGCAACACAAACTCAACGTTGTAGGCCAAATTAAACAACGATATACACATTAGTAAATTTGGGTTATGTTTATGTTAATTTGTGACTTAATATCAGTTTCGTTAGTTTTTCATTTTTAATTAAAGAGAAACACGTGGTTTTCTACTCTGGACGAAAGAAAATAAAAAAGTTTTGAAAAACACAAAAAAATAATACTAATATTTCATAATTCTGGCTTATGATATTATTGTTGTTATTGTGACAATACGATTAAGGACACTATCATTCACGTCAACCTTATTCAAAAACACAAAATCGATTAGTTTTCGCGTAACTTGATGGTCTTTACAGACCAATGTTTTTTATTTTCCATGTGTTTAAATTTGTCAATACTTGCTGTTACGAGACATACATAAGTGTTTTAATTGAAGCGTTTTAGAATTTATCAATTTTTCATAAATTAAATTGGTTTGTGACACACTCTTATTTCACGTTCTTTTTAGTTCAAATACAAAATAAAAGAAGTGACTTATTTTTAGTAAAAAAAACAAGGATAAAAATCATCCAGTTTTCTCTCCGTAAGGTTAAAAATTAATTTCTACAAAATTCACTCATTTACGACAAATAGACGCCTTTGATTTTTATGAATAATAAGACCATTAGTTTAAAAAATGTATTATTATTATTAAATGAATACAAATTAAGAAATTATAAATACTTTAACAACGACTTTTGGAATTATGTTGGATTAAAACAAAAATTAAAAATTCGCTTTCAATTGTTTTTTAGTAATTTTGTTTAATTTTCAATAATATTTTTCTACTCATAATACGTCTTGTTCTTCTTTTTTGGTTCTTTTTCTGTTGTTTGATAAAAACTCGCGGACAGCGGCATGTCACAATCAAACACATCTTTTCCATCAATTTCTTCAATCAGCGTTTTTGCGGCATTTTCGTCAAAATACTGAACATACAACGTTTTGGTTTTAAACTTCGGATTGGTATCTGTGAGGCGTAAACTTTTGATGTCCCCAAACGAGTTGAAATAATTGTAAAATTCATCATTTGCTTCCAAGTCGGGGTGGATTTTTCTTACTCTTACACCCCACCACTCCTTCTCTTCCTTCTTTTTATCGTATCTTTTAACATTGAAATTATCGGTGCCGATTGTCTTTTTGATTATGGATATATTGTCATAAAAATTCTTAACGTCTTGATACGAAACAAATTTGACACCACAAAAAGCACCACTGTCATTACGAGAAAAGTAAAAACATTTGATTTGAGCATAAGCACCCAAACAAACTTGAACAGACTCGTCTGTAGCATCGGGATTCAAACCAAAGATGTCGAAGTTTAATTCTTCAAAATTAACTTTTTTTTGTAAAAGAGCCCAACGTATTTCTATTGGCTTACCTTTGAATTTATATTTAGTTCGTGTTTGATGGATTTTGAGCGCAGTTTCGTGGTCACAAAAGACAACATTAGTATAAACTGATAACAAAAATGTGGTACTGGACATTTTTACTATAAAATATAGTTTTAAATATAGTTTAAATATTTTTTTGTTAAAAAAACAAGGAAAAAAGCCGCAGTTTTTTTCGAGTAAAATTTTTAAAAATCTAAATTTTACTTCTAAAGCCGCGTTTTTGAAAACAAACTACAAATTCGTGTAATTTCAATGTTTTTTATAATAATTAAACGGGATGACCAAAAATCACAATAAATTTGTTTATATGTTTGAGAGAACAAAAATTCAGGGGTGCAGCCAGAGATTAAGCTGAAAGGGGGACTTATGATTATTTAATGAAACTTTTTGGAGTATCCAAGCGGGATATCTCAAATATTAAGAAAAGTCAACAACATTTTATGTATTAAAAAGGTCAGTTTATTGGTCATTTGTTATTATCAATTAAGTTTATTCGTTTTGGCATTAAATAATGTGTTTTAGTTCATATTTTGTATTTTCTATTATTTTGCCTTATTATTAGTTAATCTATTATTTCATTTAAGTCCGTGTTGGTCTAAAATCCACACAGCTTTTATTTTGAAATATTTGTTAATTTACAAAAAGTTCGAACAAAAAGCCGCGGGTTGATTTAAAAAATCTTAGGACGAATTTGCGATTTTTTCTTCTGTTTTACACAAAATTTTCTTTAATATAAACTAAAAAAAGAAATTCGGAAGTGGGTTATTTTTTAAATTTGGTTAATTAATCGGGAAAAGTATTCTAAATTATTTATACCTAAAATTAAACGTTTTTGGGTTTTTTGACTTATTATTGATTAATAGTGGCACAGAAATAGACTAGAATAATTAACACAAATAAAATTTGCCTGTACTTTTTGAACAAAACAACACGAGAAATTTTTATTTCAATTCTCTTCTTATTATTACTTCAAAACTGTTGGCATATATGAATATTATAAACCCAAAACAATTTAACATTTTAAAAACAAAGAAGTTTATTATAACACAACCTAATATTAACTATAATTATTGTTTTAAAAAACTGTTGTATATAAGTATTTTATTTATTAAACACCTTAACAAAATCAAATTTTAATTTACACTTTTTGAAATCACTATAAATTGTTGTAATCTTAACTAAATATGACAATGGAAAAGGATGAACTTATCGCTAATGCTTTAAAAGCTGGTAGGCACTACAAAGAAATTCAAACACTATTCAAAACTTCTCCAAAAAGAATTTCAAGAATTAAAAAATGCATTGAAGAACATAAAAATATTATTCCAATAAAAAGAGGAAGAAAAGGTTTATCAAATATAATAAATATAGAAATATCCAAAATAACATACGACAACCCCTTTTCATCGTGTTTTGAAGTAGGAAAAATTGTCGGCTGTTCAAAAACAACTGCAGATAAAATAAGAAAAAAAAATAATCATTTTAGATATTGCAAACAAATATCCACACAAGTTTTGACTCAAAAACAAATAAAAGACAGATGGGTATTTTCCAAAAAACAACTTTGGAATAAAAATATTAAAAAATGGGAAAAAACAATAATAAGTGATGAAAGTCGGTTTGGGTTGTATCCAGACAAAAAGTGGTGTTGGAGACCAAAATCATTTTTAGCAAATCTACGCGAATTTAACAAAAGAAAAGGCAACAGAAAAGTTCCCAAAGCCATCAAAGAACATTTTTCTCAAACTCCCAAACACAACTGTTCCATAATGGTATGGGGAGCTATCGGGGTCGGATACAAGAGTAAATTAAAACGTTGTTCACAAAAAGAGGGAGGAAAAGAATATATTGAATTACTCGAAAATAGTCATTTCTTCGAAGATGTTAGAAAGAAACTAAACAACAACATTGTGCATTTCCAACAAGATGGTGCTCCTGCCCATCGCTCACTTGCAACTAAAAAATATTTACAATCAAAGGGTGTAAGGCTGATGTTATGGCCATCAAATTCTCCAGATCTATCCCCAATAGAACATTTATGGGGAATTATGGATAGAAAGTTAAGAAAAAACTACCCGGTTATTAAAACAGAAAAGAGATTGTTTTTTTTATTGAGAAAGATTTGGAATGAAATTCCACAATCATTAGTCGACAAATTGATGTTTTCAATTAAAACACGTTTTGAATTGTGTGTGAGTCAAAAAGGAGGTCCAATTGGCCATTTATCAAATTTCAAACAATTTGAAAAAATGGAAAAAAATCCAGTGTTTTAAAAATAAAACCTTAGGAGTTTGAACCTTATTATTAATGAAAAATTTGTTTATTGTAATTGGTTATTAATTGAAAAAAATAATTCGGAAGCAATATAAAAATAGAACAGCACATTTTCCTGTATATTTTTAGTAAAACATACCTATCAAAAAAAATGTACACTTCCTAAAAAACGGAACCAGTTTATATAAAAAATATTAGAAAATAATGTGGTACTGTGGACACTAATTCAACATTTTTTGGAAGCCAAACAAAAACAAAAAATGAGGAAATTGAGGTTAAGCAATTTATTGGTAGTACCAACTTTTTGTTAACAGTTTATGTGCCATATATTATAATTTTAATAATTGAAGTCGCATCTTGTTGAAAAATGGACATGATGTCACTTTTTTGAACATCAATAGGAAAGAGTTTCAGCTTCAAGGTACGATTTGATGAAAAATCGTCTGCTGTAGGAATTGACATATTTTACTTTTTGTTAGTTTTTTATCAACATTTATATTCAGAAATAATAATATAAAAATATTTAATAATAATAATATGAATTCATAATCGTTATATGGTCTCATCGTTGTGTTTAATGAAATCATATTATTTATATTATAAAATGAAGAAACTATTAAAAATTTTTAACAAATTAAGTTTGGCAGTATTTTAAAATAGCAAACAAATTTAGAGTAAAAAATAGAAAAAAAATAGTTTTTTACATTAGAGTCAGTGCCATGCTTCGGGAAAAATTGCTTTAAAAAAAAGACCGAAAAGATTGTTTTTACGGCAGAAAAATCATTTTTGGTAAAGCCAAATTTATAAACATTCAAATAATCGGGACATTAGGTATATAAGTTTTTATATATAAAACTATTATTATTAGTTAAAAATACTAGAATATTAATTATATAAAGTCATTATTAAGACAATGCAACTTTGAAATCTTTCATTTTTATGTATAAAATAATGAATAGAATTTACTACACAATTCCATGAAAAAC